GGTAAATAAAGAGAGCTAAAATATCTGGACAAAGGTTGCAAGTTCTCTCTCATTGGAGGCTTCTGTCTCCAAATCTTCAGATGTGACTACATGTCCTGGAGTAACTTCAGAAATCAGGAAAGTAAAAAGGAGCCATCATTTGGGTAAGAGTTGGGGGAGCAATAGAGAAGGAAACAGCAGGGTACATACAAGTGATGTGATTGGGGAACTGGAGAAAAGGGAGGGCTCTGACTAGGGAGGGGGGAGATGAATACAAGAGGGAAGACAATAAACTAACGGTAAAGGTGTCTGAAAAAGTCATAGAGTCACATTATTAACCATTACATTTTCAAAGTCCAAAACTATAATATGCAGAAGTCTATCTATAAATCACATAGTTTAAACGAACATTTCCTATCTGGCTGAAAATGTTCTGACAAGCCAAAGACCGTCTGACAAAGTCTCCTGAATAAGTGTGAGAAGCCCCTTTGAGTTGTTGGTCAGGGTCGCCCAGGGGATCCCTGAACCACCACAGGCGTTGGTATTGCTCTTGTCCTCGCTACCCACCCGAGCTGGAAGGTAAGGCCCTGTCGCTGAAGCCACCATGCACTTCAGAAACAGGGCCCAGAGGCCCATGAGTAGCAACAGGAAAGCCTCTTTCTGAGGACTAGCTTTCATGGTGCCAGAAGACACTACACAAGTTTTTAAAGGAGGGAAGCCACTAGCAGCCAAACCCAGGCATGCTGCCTATGAGCCACAGCCGTGACAAGCATGGCATGGCGGCCCTGAGGATGCAGTTAGGGACTGCACCGGTTTGGTGAAGTGGCGGTTGTAGGTTCTCCTCCAAGGTCCATGACTTCCCTGGTGCTGGGTTTGCTGTACCAGACATGGTTTTCCTCTTGTTGAGCAGGTACGCATACCACTAACTACATCCTAAAGATTTGTCCTTAAGGCCACAGATTAAGTGTAGTCCTCTCCCCTCAATAGGAAACTTCTTTTAGACAGTTGGAGACCACTACAGGAAACCACATCAAAATGCCGAACTGTGGAAGCCAGTCCCAGCGGATACATCTATGAAACGCTTCCAAGTTTAAGGCTCAGGGAAGAGAGGGTGGAAAGGTTGTAAGAGCCAGAGGATCATGGAAATTGCTGTAAGACTGTATGTTTTAGTAATTTCAGAAGCTGCATCCATAAAGCCTCACCAACATGATGGCCTAAATATGAGGCAAACAAGGACAATCAATACAACAGACATGCCATAGTGGGCAAGGGAAAGACCATGAGGCCCTAACTCTACACGAAGAACTACAGACAACTAAGGAATGCTTAGGTGGAGTTGGGGGGGGGGGGTCCTCCCCCGGGAAAAGCACACAACTGGTTATCCAGTTCCAAATGGTCAGCCCTGCAAACACACAGTGTTACACAGACCAAGCTACATTTAAGAAGATGTATGTATATATATACACCTGTATGAACATAACAAGTTAACAAAGAGGAGGCCATGCATTTGAAAGAGAGGAAGGAGGAGTATAAAGAAGGGCTTGGAGGAAAGAAAGGGAGAATAAGTGAAAAAAGTCAAAAAGATAAATTTATTTTGAAATTTTAGGTGTACGGGTGTTTGTGTGCATGCAGTACCCACAGAGGCCAGAAGGGGGCGTCAGATTCCCTGGAACTGGAGTTCCAGAACCCACACAGGGTGGGTCCAGTTTCAGAGATGAGACCCAACACCCCTCTGACTCCAAGGCAACAAACACACACTAAGACAGAACATTCATACACATAAAAGAGATATGTACATGTGGGGAACAAACAAACAAAAAACTAAGTTTTTGTAATGAGGAAAAAATATATTAGAAACAAAAAAACTGATAAACTGGCCATGTCCTTGAGGAAGCCGAGGCAGGTTTGTAGTTCACAGCCAGCCTCACAACCTCGTCAGTTCAAGGTCAGCCTTGAGACAAAAACACAGGCGGGCGAGGCAGGTAAAGATGCTTGCTACCCAGGACCAGACCCACGTGGTAGAAGAGCTCTGACTACCTCACGCTGCCCGCCCACCACACGTGGGCCACGGTATAAGCAGACCATAGTTCCCACTCTCCTAAAATAAATGTGAAAATACCCTTCATACCATCAATCCCAGCACCATGGAGGCAGAGGCAGGTGGATCTCTAAATTTGAGGCCAGCCTGGTCTACAGAGCGAGTTTCAGGTCAGAAAGGTTAAAAAATGAAGCCTTTTTCAAAAAAAAAAAAAAAAAACCAATACGGAAGTTCCTCAGGCTTGCAGTCAGCATCAGTGGTGTCCACCTGAATCTATTCCAGCATTCTCGCAATTGCTTCAGAAAAACACAATGACCATTGTCATTCTTGTTTTTCAAGACAATTTCCCCGTGTGGCCTTGGCTGTCCTGGACTCACTCTGTAAACCAGGCTGGCCTCAAACTCACAGAGATCCACCTGCCTCTGCCTCCTGAGTGGGAACTCAAGTAGGGCTTCAGGCACTTACCCTGTGAGCAGCTGCATTTCCCTTTAGGTACTGCTCACAGGGTCTCTGTCCCTAGCTGTGCCAGAGCTAATGATATTTGGGGCATGTACTTTATTCCTGAAAATTCTCTCGACAGCCAGTTTACTTGTTTTGACCTCTGTGTTTCATGCATTGTTCGGGAGCTGCTCTATAAGTGTGTATAGTATTTTTTGCCATTAGTTTAGGTATCATCAGTTTATTGCAAAAGGGAGGCATGGAAATTATTTACATGATATAGTTCAAAATGTCAGTAGAATGGGTACCATCATGTGACACGATTTCACCAGCGATTTCACTCCACTTTTTTTTTTTTTTTTTTTTTTTTGGTTTTTTGAGACAGGGTTTCTCTGTGTAGCCCTAGCTGTCCTGAGCTCACTTTGTACACCAAGCTGGCCTCGAACTCACAGCCTGCCTCTACCTCCTGGGTGCTGGGATAAAAGGAGTGCCTCCCCCACTGCCCAGTGAATTATTTACAGATACTGACACTCTTGGAAAGTATGTGGGAGCTGGGAGACACAGGCAGGTGGATCTCTGAGTTTAAGGGCAACCTGCTCTACAGAGTGAGGGAATTCTAGGATAGCCAGGGCTATACCGAGTAATCATCTCCAAAACATGCAAAAAAACAGAAAAATGATAAAATAGAATTCTCGTCAACTAGAACCACTTGGTGCCTCCACACTCTGGGAGAACTTTGTTCCCAACTATCACACTTACAGGTTGAATCTACCTTTTCCTGCCTGACACCGAAGCTGCTACTGTTGCTTGCAAAACTATTCCTCTAAAGTTCCTTAAGTGTGCTGCCACCTTTGGTTACTCTTTCAACCAATACTGTCAGAGGGGAAGAAACTCCCAGCCTTCAGCAGCTCAGACTCTTACAGCCTTCACACACAGGGAATGAATACTGGTGTGGGAAAGAACCGTGTTAGCCCACTTGCTTCTCAAGGCTGGCAAGCCAACTCATCCATGCAAGGGTGATGACCTGATATAAAAATGGTGGGGTGGGGTGCCTCATGAGACTGGCACGTGGGGATCTCTTGGGCTCACTGGCCAGCAGAACCACACTACTCTGGTGACCTCTAGATCAATGAGAGACCTTACCTTCATTTTTTTCCCCCAAGGCAAGGTTTCTCTGCACAGCCCTGGCCATCCTTTAACTGTGGACCAGGGTGGCCTTGAATTGAGAGATTGGCATGCCTTTGCCTCCAGAGTGCTGGGATTACACCACATCCAACTGATGTGAGAGACCGCATCTTAAATAAGCAAGGTGAGTAGCGCTCCTGGGAAAGGGCACTCAGGGCTGTCCACTGGCTTCCACACACATGCAACCTGTACGTATGTGCAATCAACACACGTGACCACGTGAAATCTGATTCTAAAGCTTCTCCAGCTCCATGCATTAAAATGAGGCCAGCTCAACAAGCAGTGATGGTTCACACCCTTAACCACAGCACTCAAGAGGCAGAGGCAGGTGGATCTCTGAGGTCCAGGCCAGCCTGGTCTACACGCTGAGTTCCACTACAGCCAGGGCTACACAGAGAAACCCTGTCTGGGAAAACAAAACAAAACAAACAAACAAACATGGCTTTGTCTAGTTTCCTATTGAAGAGCCTAGACTCAAGTTTATGAAAGTTTTATCTAAAAAAAAAAAAAAAAAAAAAAATTAATTTTATGTGTTTGCCTGCATGCATATGTGTGTCATCCATGTCTGGTATGCAGGAAGCTAGAAGAGGGTGTCAGGTCTCTGGGACTGGAGTTACAGAACTGTGAGGCCCTTGTCGGTGCTAGGAACCAAAACAGCCAGTGATGAAAGCAGAGTACTCTCTCCAGCCCACAAAGAGCTTTACCTAAGAAGGGAGCCTTGTGATTTTTCAAGGGGCGCACTCTAGGTTAGGTCAGAGGAAGTCTAGGGCCATCTGACCTCAGACTCCCTCTCCTCACTCGTCCTCGTCTCCTTCAACCTGAGTGAACTCTTGAGCTCTGAATTCGCAAGACCTTCCGTTAACCAGACCGAGTCACAATCTAAGCAAGAGTTCTTCAAGTTTAATCTGCCATGATGCTGAAGGAACTGCTCGGCTGGGAACTGAACCATTGCTCTCAGCTTGGGATAAACTTCAGTTGGAGGATGGGAAAAGACTTTGTTCATGCTAGCACAAACTGGGCCTGGTGGAGGAGAGAGCTTGAGCAGGCAGGATATGGGAAAGATCCAAGAAGGTCAACAGGTCTACAGAAAGGGCAACAGGGACGTAAGATGATCATGGACATTATGCTTGCTCCCCAGAAGAGGGCATCAGATCTCATTATAGATGGTTGTGAGCCACCACGTGGTTGCTGGGAATTGAACTCAGGACCTTTGGAAGAGCAGCCAGTGCTCTTAACCTCTGAGCCACCTCTCCAGCCCAATCATGGACATTATGGATATGTATGCATTATGTACATGTATGTACTACCATGCTAATAAAAACATTTTAAAATAGGTCTAAATAACTGATAGAATTTTAATACATTAAAACAGATATTTATTACTTTCATATTGCATCTGTCATTTTTTTCAACAATACAAAGTAGAGGCAAATAGGAACACTCCATAAAAATGTTGAATCCCTTATCCTTTCCCCAAGTCCCAGCCCTCCCTTGAGTGCTCCCTCCCACCCCTTACAGAACTCTGTCCTGAATAAAACACTTAAATACATCATAAATAGTAAATTACGAAAAAAAAAATAGCAAGAATTGTTTCTTTCCTTCGTGTAAAAAAGAACATGGCAGCAAAGACAGGCAGCCAGAAGCTGGCTGGGGTGTCTAATATAGACAGTTACGTGGGGGTTGGCTAACCTGCTATCAAGGTAAGACGGGAAGGAGCAGTGATGACGTAAGATTTCAACAGCCTGCCTTCAACATCATGCACTGCCCCTCCAGCCAGGACCAAACGGATCATAATCTGAGAGGGAACAGGGGCTTATGTGGCCCCATTCCAACTTCTCTACAGAGTTAAGGGGGCAGGCCAGGCGGCATGGCAACTTACTGAGGAGAGCCCACGGCTCCCTGGAGTTTAGGAAAATATTCTCTAGCCTCATAGATACAGACTGCCTGTTAGACAGACACCAACGTCTCCCTCCACCACAGCTCCACAAAGAGCAGAATACTGTTGGAAAATACGGAAGAACAAAGAAATCTCCTTTGGAGAATGGTCTAAAATCATTTCATAATTCTTTACGTTTAGAAAAACTATTAGAATACATTCCAAATTGCAAAATAGTAATACCTGCATGACCTGGCAGTGAGGAGGGTCCTGCTAAGGTCCACTCTGCTAACATGGCTGCCCCACTGTCTTATAAAGGGTAGCCATGCCCTCTTCATTCCCTCAGCCTCAAATGAGGGAAACAGAGCAGCAGCTGCTGGCGGGGCAGCCCGGCCTTTCTGCTTCACAAGCACCCGGGCTCGCCCTCAGCACTTCCAGGGCTTCTGAGACGGGCTCAGACTCACGCTGGTGCCGTTTGTTCTTTTCCCTTTTTTAAGGAAAGAGAAAACTAGGAGTAAGGTCATCCTCACTCTCGCTCAAAAACCTTTATAAAAACCACTGGGCTCTTTTCAAAGACCAGAGGAAAGAGCGAAGGTAGCAACGATATCCAGCTAGTCTATCCTGAGGAAATTCAGAGTCCAGCTCCAGGTGAAAGGTAAAGAGAAGAAAACCACCTAGTCCAGCAACCCCATGTCCAGCACAAAGAACGGGGGTTTTGAAAAATATTCAGTTATAGAAGCCACGGCGGCCAATGGAAAATTCATGCCACCCAATTCTGGAGTGGTGGGCACACTGCTGTCCTCAACTGTCAAAGGCACTAATGCCCAGAGGAAGGGAGATGGTGGCCGAGAGCCTTGTAGCTCCGTGTTTCTCTCCTCTCCTGATGACTCAGCATTCCTGGGGCAAGGGCTGACTTCTTGAGATCAAAGCGATAATAGCGTCTTGTTTCAGGTCTTCTGAGGCTCATGGCTCACTGAAAAGAATGTAAAGTTCACTAGGAATACGAGACAAGAAGGCAGGAATGGAACTCAGGTTTGTTTCATCCTAGCTAACAAAATTGACCTTTTTTTTTTCCTTCTCTTCTTAGCTTCAGCTTCCAAGTATGAAAGTTTTAAAACCATAAACCTTTCTATTTTTTTGGAGACAAGATCTTACTATATAGCCTAGCCCATAATAGCCTCAAATTCTGCTTCCCAAGTACTAGGAATTAAAAACTTTTTAAAAGCAAGCTGCAAGGTACACCAACATTCCCAATCAACTTATGCTCCATTCCATCAGCGATGAACTTTTATACCCTTCAAGACCCCCGGGTCCAGGGTCCCAGACACTCACATGGATGAACTCTGACTCCACAATTTCAAGCTTTTCCAAGGTTGAACTAATAGAAGGGGGGGAAAAAAGGCAGAGAAGTAGAAGACAAAAAAGGATTAAGTGTTAGAACTGGTAAACAGGCATCTCTACGCCAGCCCCCAGGGGACCTAACAGGCGGGACATCTGAGGCCACCTCCAGAAATTCAGCTGCAACAGGACCCTTCATCACCTGTGACACAAACACCTGTGTCCTGCACATGCGCTGGGTCACCTTCTAAGAGGATTAGCCACCTCCTCTCTCTCTTTCCTGCCTCAACCAAAGACTGTCTCTGTAACCCCTCTCTCCCCGCTAATAAGACTCCCACAGGGAACCTGTGGCATGGCACAATTTATGAACCACCGTATAGCTCCACATAACTCTGCCGCACAAATCCTAACAATGAGTATAGTTAAGTGGCAGAACAGTACAGCATGCAGGATCCTGCTTCCACTCCCACTATGTTCTCCAAGGTCATTCTATTATTCAGAAAACACAACGGCGCTGAAGAAACGCTCATTGGGTAAAAGGTGCTAGCTGCATAGGACTGGCAACCGAAGTCTGATCCCTGGAACCTACACAAAAGAAAGACTAAGAAGACGCTTCTAAATTGAAGGCAGGCACGGTGGTGCAGGCCTACAATCCCAACTACCTCCAGGCTGAGGCAGGAAGATGGAGAGCTCGGAGTCAGGGCAGCTAGAGCAGGACTTCAAGGCTGTTCTAGGGAACCTTCTGAGACACTGATTTACAATTCAGAGTCAAAGGCCCAGGTGTGCGGTGGCCCACCCCAGTAATTACAGCACTTGGGAGGCAGAGGCAGGTGGATCTCTGAGTTTGAGGCCAGCCTGGTCCACAGAGTAAGAGTTACAACCAGGGCTACACAGAGAAACTCATAGTCTCCAAAAATAAGACAAAACACAACAAAAGAAGCTACTAGCTTTAAAAACTATTTTCATCTGGGGGCAGTGTTCCTGCACACGTGTGTACGCATGCCCAGGATGAATGTGGAGATGAGAGAACGAGCTGCAGAATCGGTTCTCTCTTTATATTACATGGTTTTTGAAGATCAAACGCAGATCATCAGGCTTGATGGCAAACACCTCTAAAAGTTAAGCCAGCTCACTGGCTGAAGCTAACAAATTTAAAAGTATTATTGCTTTAATTAAATACGGTTTTTTGTAGTTTGTTTTTTCAGACAGGGTTGCATGTAACTGAGGTGATTCTCTATGTAGCAGCTGCTTTTTCTCAGACCCTGTTCCGTCTTCCGTCTGAATGGTGGAAGGTGATCTCTAAGGCTATCTAAAGCAGGACTATCTGCTTCCTGACCTGTCTCCTGAGGTTCCCACTGTGGGCTACACTCTGCAACTCTTCCACAAAACAATGCAGCAGAGGTGCGAGAACCTCAGTTCTGAGGTTAAGTTACAAAGACTGAGGATGCTTCTTGAAGGCAGGCTTCTGTGCTTGTCTACTTTGAGGGAAGCTAGCTGCTCTGCTACAAACTGCCCTACTGAAAGAAGTGACTAGTGACTAGGAAGCATCACTAGCCGCAAAGAGAACTGAGCCCCAACCCAATAGCCTTAAAGGAGTCAGATCTGCCAGCTCTACATAACAGAGCTTGGAAGGGGATCCCTCCCGTCTCCCGCAACCCAGCCCCTTCCATACTTCTTTTGGGGCAGGGTTTTCTTGGCAGTGAATTAGTCAGGCCTCAAAGCAGTCCCCCTGCCTCTGCCTCCTAAATGCTAGGACCATGTGTGCTACCATGCCTGGCTCAACTCAAACTTTCTTTTCTTACGTGGTGTTGGGATGAGCACAGGCCCACACAAGTGCAAGTTCAATCTGCTTTGCTTCATCCCCCAAAACTGAGGTAAAGGCTCAATTAACACAACTACCCTGCCCGAAGAGTTTCAGTGTAACCCCTGGACACCCCGAGCCAAAGGCATTCAGCTAAGTCGACTGGACTCCGGACAACACAGAGAACAATGTTTGTTACTCCTCTTTTCTTTTTTTTTTTTTTTTTTTTTTTGTTGTTGTTGTTGTTGTTTTTCAAGACAGGGTTTCTCTGTGTAGCCTTGGATGTCCTGGACTCACTTTGTAGACCAGGCTAGCTTTAAGCTCACCGAGATCTGCCTGCCTCTGCCTCCCTGAATGCTGGGATTTCAGGCATCTGCCATGGAGCCTGGAAATGATTGTTACTTCTAATTGCTAAATTCTGGGGTAATTTATTATTAACTACATACACACAATCCTCTATGTGGTGCCACCCTAACAAAATAACTCCAATGGCACCATGGCCCAGCGGCAATACTGGTCTACCATATCTTGACTTCAAACTTCAGCACCTTCTCCAGGTGGTGTCCTTACACCTGTAAGGCTACAACAAGGAAGACTGAGATAGAGGATTTTTTTTTAGTTAGATTTGTTTTTGTTTAGTTTTGTTTGTTTTTAAGACAAGATCTCAAACAGCCCAGACTGACCTTGAATTATGATCTTCCTGCCTCTACCTTCCTAGTGCTGGGATTAAAGGGGTGCCTCAGAACACCCAGTTATATTTATTTCAAGCCACTAAGTGCGGGGCAATTTATTATGTAATAGAAAACACAATAGGTAACAAAATTAAGTCTGATTATTATATTAGCCTACTGACTACTGACAGGCGCGGTAGCCCACGACTGCAATCTCAGAACATATAGGACTCACACAGAAGGGCTGTCCACCTGAAGGAAGCTTGGGCATTCAGTGAGACTGCCTTAAAACCAACCAAACGAGATTTTTTTTTTTTTTTTTTTTGAGATAGTAGCTCTTCAAGTAGCCCTGGCTGTCCTGGAACTCACTATGTAGAGCTGGCTTCAACTCAGAGATCCAACTGTCCCCACCTCCTCAGCATACCACAACACCTAGCAGAGACTCTTGAAAAATATCAAAGTGAAGATTTCGGAGGACCTGAAAAGAGTATGGAGCAACAGGCCAAGAAACCAACCTCAAATTCATTATTTGCAAAGGCTCTCCAACTACAGGTGAGAAACTAGGGCTGAGAACAGCTGACCCCTCATTGATCTCCTCCAAAGGTGGAGTCTGAGGTAAGACATCAGGACGCCCAAGGTGTACATCTGGAGAAAAAAGGGAAATAAAATCAATCAATGAATAAGGAATGAATCAATAAATGAAGGACGGTATGGGCAGGGAAAAACAAGAAAATCTGTAGTGACGTAGGGGCACGGTGACTCTTCCTATAAACCCAGTACCCGGGGAGGGTGAAAAAGAAGGGTCATAAGGTTGAGGTCAGCTTGGGCTACATACATAGTGAATTCTAGAACTGCCTGGGCTACATAGTGAGACCCTGTCTCAAAACAAAGAACAACCAGGCAGTGGTGGTGCATGTGTTTAGTCCCAGTACTCAGGGGGCAAAGGCAGGCAGATCTCTGTGAATATGAGGTCAGCCTGGTCTACAGGCTGAGTTCCAGGGCAGTCAGGCTACAGAGAAATCCTGCCTCAAAAAAACCAAAAAACAAAACCAAACAAGAGCAAGCAAGTTAGTTTTCACTGCATAGAAACGGGGCATAAAGGCCCTGGCCAGAGGAGAAGGGGAGTGCCCAATGCAAGGGGACCCAGCCCTGGCGCTGACCTGGCTCCACTTCCGCCTTTGTTGTCACTTGTGCTTTATGTTCCCCAGAGACCGATGGCTGGAAAGTAATGCAGGAGTTGCCGCTGGGGCCTGATCGCCGAGAGAAAGATGAGCCAGACCGAAACTTTTTGGAAGGAGAAGGCTTCACTTCAAAAGGGAAAGAGAAAGCCTACTTAGCAGACCACCTCAGAAACCATCACCGAGACAGACACCAACACACACCCAAAGCTGTTCTGAAGAAAAGGTAGAAAAAGAGTTAACATCAGAAAAGACGGCCCACAAAGCACTACTCAGAGCAGAGGGTCAAGTCACCTCACTCTGGAAAGAAACACAACACCTACAATGAAGCGACACAAGTGCAGCCCTCTCTGGCTCAGCTTTCACAGTGGAGACTCTTGCTCTTGATCAACATCACCCAGTAAACCCTACAGGTGGCACATCTCTCTAGCCCTTCCCAGAAGATGCAAAAAGCACTGTAACCTACATGGCTTCACTCTGAACACATCTCTGCACCTCGTAGCCTGTCTGTGGCGTCTAAGTCTTCTTCACCTCCCCGTGGCAAAACTGATGCCTCTGATGAGAGGACAGGAGGACCTGGAATCTGCCAGTACAACACAGAAAGTGTGAAAAACAAACACTTGCACTTCTGTGTTGAGAAAGCTGATGGGAAACACTAAAAACTCCAACTGTCAGCAAGGCTGACAGCTGCACTTGAATTAATCTGAGAATTTCTGGCACCTGGACATGGAAAGAACATGGCTAATATCCTTGCCTGTTCTTCCTCCACAGAAGTTTGCTTCTAGACAGCTAAGCCTGTGCCACGCAGTCTATCCACAGCTACACGGTTTTGTTTTGTTTTTGTTTTTCCATTCCCACCAATTCCCCCAGAAAGGGCCCTCACCTCAACGACACATGTAGGGAGAGCCAGGGGGAGCAGCAGCTCGGAAACGACTGGGACAGACAGTGACTGACACAAGGACGAGAAGCAGCGCTCACAGGATGCAGGCACAGCAGGAGAGGCCTTGGCAGCCCCCTGACAGAGGTGCCCTGGCCCCCATCTCTTGGGGTAAGGGAGCCACGGGGGGTCATCTGGTAGAAGGCACTTACAGGGGATCTTTTTGAACACCGTGTTGCACATGAAGCGCTGGAACCGCTCGGCATAGAAGCCTGGACGATGCACTGACACTGTATCCTGTGGAACAGAGGACATGACTACAGGGTTAAACAGAGGCCAGCAAGAGGCTGTGTCATCCAAGGGCCACGTCCCTCAGACGGAAACCCCTACCATAAGGGTAAACCCAGAAATGAAGTAAATAATACACAGAAGAACCTGAAGAGCAAATGGCAAGCACTACAGACAGACGCAGGACGGGGGCCTTCAGCTAACTCACTCACCCCATCATGGACCAGTGCCTTCCAGGAGTGCTCCAACTTCTTAACAAACCTGCCAAGAAACCCATGTACCACACATTATTAATAAATCAAAGACTGTAGTAATTGCTTATTTTAGAGAGCTTAAAGAGGCTATGATAGCTGAAAACCTTGAACAGATAAACACTAGACAAGTATATCCACTGTGGTAAACTGGCTTTCCAAAGAACCACTTTTTCTACCCAGAAACCAATGTTGCTAACTAGCTAAGCCAATTACTCCCCAATGAGGGAAGGGCATTTTCTAAGTCACTGACAAGTCAGGGGCAATGAGCAGGACAGTTCAGTGATGGAACACTAGCCTATATATGAGGGCCTGGGTTCAACTGCTAGAAAAGGCAGGGTACGCTTAGTGGCACATGCCTGTAACCAAGCAACTGGGAGACTGGGTCTGGAAAAATACCATGAGCCCAGATCTGCCTGAGCTACAACGTGAGGCCTTGTCTGAAAAACAAAAACAAAACCCAGAACAAATAAACCAAGAGAGAAAAAGAAAAAAAGCTAGAGAACTAGATGTGTAAAGCTGAAAAAGTATAGCTACACTGTGTCAGCCGGCTGTCTCACTGTGCGAGACGGCTCAGGGGGTAAAGGTGCTGGCCACCAAGCCTGATGACCTGAGTTTAATCCCCAGAATCCACACGACCGAGAGAACGACTTCCACAAGCTGTCCTCTGACCTTCACATGCCCGCTGCAGTTTAAACATACACAAACACACACACAGTGAGTAAACGTAAAAAGCTTTAGTTAGATAATAATCAGTAAGTCAACTACTGAAGAATTAGTCCGCGTTTGTACCTGCAGGGTGTCAGGGCCAAAAACGGAGCCTAACATCTGCAGCAACTGCCTCATCACTTCCCGGCCTTAAGTTCCGCAGACTGCTCGACTTTACATAACACAGATCTTCGTTTTCCTCCGTGGAAGTGAGACTGTGTTCCCAGCTCGCCTTATGTGGAGGATGACTCAACCCACAGGTTTCTCACAGAGTCATGGCAGATGGCGTCCTCCACCCTATCTGAGGACTGACTAAGCATTCCACAGAGTAGAGATCATGTTGAAGAGGCGGTGAAGCAGAAAAACCAGAGAATAAGACACCTAAAATCTATGGGTAACCAGACTGTGACTCATGGTTACATCATAGAGAACTTTACAAAGAACACATCTAAAAAAGTGTGCTGGGGACTAAAGAGGCAGCTCAGCAGGTAAGAGCACTGGATGCTCTTGCAGAGGATCTGGGGACAGTTCCCAGCACCCACATGGCAGCTCACAACTACCTCTAACCCCAGCCCTAGCAGATCCAACGCCCTCCTCTGACCTCCATGGGCACCAGACAATATACTAGTGCACATACATAGACAAAAGGCAAAAACACATTCATAAGATGAAAAAAAAAATTTAAAAAGGGAAAGGATGGGCCATGAGTGACCAGCTCAATGTCCCCTTTCTTCTAATCTGTGCTCCATGTGCCCTCACCTGTAGGACTGCAGAATATCAATGATGCCAATATAAAGCAGGAGTCTCTCCCCTTTGTTGTTCCGGGCAGGGATGCCGCCCATGCTGGGGAAAACAAAGGACGAGTTAGAACACCCTGTCACGAGCAGGGCAACGCTGCTCCTAACTATGCACAGGTAATTATCAGCTGAACATGACCGATCATTCTCCAGACTAGGAGCCTCTGCACTGTGAATTAGAATCTCCCTGCTCCTCTCCCACAGAGCTCCAAAAAGCCTACAACCACTACTCAGCAATTCTGGGACTACTCCCCAAATAAAAACAAACATGCTGGTACTTTTGTATCTTAGTTTGTTCCCACAAGGACACTTTTCTTGGCAGTTGTGGTACAAAACCACGACTAAAAATGAAACCATTTGAAACTTTTAGTAACCATACTCACTGCATAAACCCAAGACAGTAAGAAAGAAGCCTTCAGCAAAGAAGCCTACAATAAGCTGTGGTAAAAGTTCTAAGGTGATTTATGGATATGCGACAAACTCCGACATTTCCTTTCCTCTTCTATTCTAACAGATCAATGGCCCCCGACCGCTGGCACTGCTGCCTCACTGTCAAATCAAAGCTACTCTTCTCCAGACGGTAGGTGCCTTCAAGAGAAGAATGATGGGACCAGGTGTGACTGGTCATTGTTCCAGGCCCACTCACTGGTCCTCAGTCTCCACGGTGCCACCCCGTCGAACCTCGCCCTGGATAGATTCCATTGCTGTGGAATAAAGTGCCTTCTGCGGAGCTGGTCTGCGAGTGTCAGCTGCATACTGGGCCTCACTGTTCACGGGCTCTCGTTGTGCATGATCCATGTTGTGGATTGACATCAAGAGACTGTAGTCCATTATCTTGAAGCTCTGTAGCACCTAATGAGGAGAGATGAACACAGGATCAAAATGTGTGAGGTGAAAAAAAAAAAAATGTATAAAGTGTCAAGATTTTTTTCAGGTTACTTGACATGAAGTTTCTAGTAACCACAGGTTTATCCTGTGCTCTTCCTACTCTTAAAGAATATCACTCTGGCAAGTCTTTATTTATACTCTTTTCCTTACCTTTCTCTCTCATTTCAATAACAGAACTTTTTTCTTTTTTTTTTTTTTTTTTTTTGCAGTACTGAATACAGGTCTCTGATATATATCACTAAGCTATATACCCAGCCTCCCTTTACCCCTTACATTTTGAGATAGGGTCTCAACAATTTCACCACTTTGGCCTTAAACCTGATTCTTCTTTTGCCTTAGCCTCCAAGTAACTGGAATTATAGGCTAGAGCCACCAAGGTAAGCAATGCAACTTTCAAGTTCATCCTGTAATGAACATCTGTAACAACAGGCTGAGGATGCTGCTCAGCTGGTTGAATGCTTGCCTGGATGCTTGAAAATGTAATCCATTCACAGCACTGAATGGTGGCATAAGCCTGCAATCCCAGCACTTAGAAGGCAAGACCAGGTTTCAAGGTCATCTTTAGCTACATAGGGAGTACACTGATGGCTTGGGCTACCTGAGATTTCAAAAAAACAAGGGGACAAAAAGTACATTGTGGGAAAGATGTGGATCAGAAAAGATCTGTGGCAGGACTTTTATGTGATCAGCTTCAATTTAGTGCAACATTTACTGAGTACAAATATATAAATAAATGCAATACAATAATGCAGTACAAATGTTTACATGATAGAAGACCACAGAGAAGGCTTAAAAAACATCACTGAAATAGGCTCATGAACAACAAAGTGGAAATAAAAAATTAAGGCCAAGCAAATAAAGTGAGAAAAGACCATTGCAAAAGCCTAGAACAGCTCGGCAGTGTTGGCACAGGCCTATAGTCCCAGCACTCAGCAGAGGCAGGCAGATCTCTGTGAGTTCAAAGCCAGTCTAGTCTACAGAGTGAGTTCTAGGACAGTCAGGGCTACACAGAGAAATCTTGTCTCAAAAAACCAAACCAGAAAAGGAAAAGGAAAAAAAAAGCCTAGAGCAAGCAGTGGTGGCACAAGCCTTTAAGGCAGAGGCAGGTGGATCTCTGAGTTCCAGGCCAGCCTCATCTAAACAGTGAGGTCCAGGAAGCCAGGGCAATAAAAAGAAACCCTGCCTTGAAAAACCTTAAAAAGGGCTGGAGAGATGGCTCAGCAGTAAGATACTGGCTGCTCTTCTGGAAGTCCTGAGTGCAAGTCCCAACAACTAAACAATGGCTCACTACTGTCTATAATATGATCTGATGCCTTCTTCTGGTGTACAGATAAATATACAAAAATAAACAAATCTTAAAAGAAAAACCTTAAAATAAATAAATAGATAGATAGATAGATAGATAGATAGATAGATAGATAGATAGATAGATA